CCCGGGAGCTGCAGGACAGCCCCGGGGCACCCGGGAGCTGCAGGACTGCCCCGGGGCGCCCGGGAGCTGCAGGACAGCCCCGGGGCGCCCGGGAGCTGCAGGACAGCCCCGGGGCACCCGGGAGCTGCAGGACAGCCCTGCGGCGCCCGGGAGCTGCAGGACAGCCCTGCGGCACCCGGGAGCCGCAGGACAGCCCCGGGGCACCCGGGGAGCTGCAGGACAGCCCCGGGGCGCCCGGGAGCTGCAGGACAGCCCCGGGGCATCCTGCAGCTGCAGGACAGCCCTAGGGCGCCCAGAAGCTGCAGGACAGCCCCGCGGCACCCAGGAGCTGCAGGACAGCCCTGGGGGCACTCAGGAGCTGCAGGACTGCCCCGGGGCACTCAGGAGCTGCAGGACAGCCCCAGGGCACTCAGGAGCTGCAGGACAGCCGCGGGGCACCCAGGAGCTGCAGGACAGCCGCGGGGCACCCAGGAGCTGCAGGACAGCCCCAGGGCACCCGGGAGCTGCAGGACAGCCCCGGGGCACCCAGGAGCTGCAGGACAGCCCCAGGGCACCCGGGAGCTGCAGGACAGCCCCGGGGCACTCAGGAGCTGCAGGACAGCCTCAGGGCGCCCAGGAGCTGCAGGACAGCCCCAGAACACCCAGCAGCTGCAGTCCGCCCTGGCCGGAGAGCAGAACAGACCAGGGCACCCAGGGGCCTGCCCCAGCCCACCGCAATCTCATGCTGCTCTGCGCATGCGGCTCATGAAACGCAGCGTGCAGCCCCTAGGAACGCAAACCTCACTATTACTGCAGTAAATCATTATAAAGGCAACATCTGCTTAGAGAGATGCTTATCAGGGCGTTTCATGCACGTTAGTTTGCAGAAGGCTGTGAGGAAAGTAAAAGAGCTTCTCCTGGGTAGAGGCAAGGCAGCATTTAAGTAGCTAATATGCCAATCACTTAATATCCAATTAGTAGCAAACGAAAAAGTGTCTTGTTATGACAGTGGCAAAATGATTCATTGTTAGCCTGCTGGGTTTATTTTGTTTCAATGCTGAGGCAATACTAAACGTGTCATCCTGCCCTGCTTGGATTTGCACTGGAAAAGTTTTGAAACCTCAGCACGTTTTCGAGGGGAACGTGGAGGAAAGCCTCCAGATTTCTAAACCTAGGCAGTGCAAACATACCTATCTTTTTAACGCTAGTTCTGCTCAGTTTTATATCTGAGCAGGCTCTGCTCCTTGATTCCC